CTCTTCTCTTCCTACCCTCCCCAGTCCCCCCATGCTCCCAACCCTGCCAGTCAATCCTGTCCATTTCCAATTTCCAGGTGGGTCTATAGATACATTTTTCTTTGGGTTTACTTTATTACTTAGTTTCTCTAGGATCGTGAGCTATAGGCTCAATGTCCTTTGTTTATAGCTAGTATCCACTAATGAGTGAGTACATACCATGTTCATCTTTTTGGGTCTGGGTTACTTCACTCAGGATGGTGTCTTCTAATTGGGATGGGCTCATTTTATCAGTGAGCAGAACTCATTGTAAGCAAAAAGTAACTGTGCTGTTTTGTCATCACCTTGGCTAGTGGCCTCACTAAGATGGAGACAGTCATACTGCTGGGCCTCCATTGTGGTTAGTGCCATCATCAAGCTGTGAAAACCGTGTGACTTCACCACCACCTTGGTTAATGTATCACATGTTATAAATCAAAATCACGTCATTCATGAAGCTTCCCCTTCCCATTGAGCTCTCAGGGAACCAATGCACCCTTCAAATTTCTGGTATCATGGGGATCCACTCATGTGCTCTAATATTTTCCCATTTTTTTCTATTTTGTTTATTATATTTCTGGTTCATAGTTGTACCTTAGAAATGAGAGACTCAGAGGAGACACCAGCATGAGCTGTATTTCCAAGGGATATGGTCAATGTATTTTTATATCAGATTACGGAGGCAACGCCAGACTTCACGGTGGGTTTTACAGATTGTTTTGCATGGTGTATTTACTGGTTTCTTGGTGGGGGTGGGATGGGGCGTATGAGCTTTCTTAGCCCTGTACCTCCACCACTAGCCAGCTACTAAAGGGAACTGACATTTGAGATAGCTACAGTCGGGATGCTCATGGGAATTCGCAACAGCCCAGAGAGAAGTTGGGAAGGCACCAAGGTCTAACCAGGAGCCAGATGATAGACTGCCAAGTGCAAGCCAAGCTGCTGCCAGTGGGTGACTACAACAGCTGGAGGCGAAGAAGTATCAGCCAGCTTGGGCTAGAGGCTAGAGATGCTGGCTGTGCTGGGTCTCTAGGCCTGGTTTATCTCATTGAGATATAATATTCCTTTCTCCTTTTTTTTTTTTTGAGATAAGACTTCCCTGTGTAACATCCCTGGCTGTTCTGAAACTTTCTTTGTAGCCCACATCCCTGGCTGTTCTGAAACTTTCTTTGTAGCCCAGGCTAGCCTCAAACTCACGAAGATCCGCCTGCCTCTGCCTCCCGAGTGCTGGGATTAAAGGCGTGCGCCACCACCGCTCAGCACAGTTTTCCCTTCTTGAGACTCCTTTTCCCCATGCATGTTGTCTGCTTCTGTTTCTGCCCCATTGAGCCCTGGTTCTCTGGCTTCTGTTTTTACTTTCCAGTTATACTTATATGGACAAGCTAAGGAAAGAACAAGCTAATGCCTACCCTTTTGTAAGTTCTTTTTTAAAGTTTTTATTTATTTGTATTTTATGTATGAGTGTTCTGCATGTTTTCATAAATGGTTGTGAGCCACCATATGGTTGTTGGGAATTGAACTCAGGACCTCTGGAAAGCAGTCAATGCTCTTAACTGCTGAGCCATCACTTCAGCCCTTCTAAGTTCTTTTAGCTCCTACCGGAAATTTTTTTTAAACATTTAAAAAATTAATTTATTTTTATCTTATGTGCATTGGTGTTTGCCCACATGTATGTCTGTATGAGGCTGTCAGATCCCTTGGAACAGGAGTTACAGACAAGTGTGAGCTGCCATGTGGGTGCTAGGGAATTGAACCTGGGTCCTCTAGAAGAGCAGCCAGTGATCTTAATTGCTGAACCACCTCTTCAGTCCCTCCTGCCATAGTTTTAACAGGGCTTTCTTACTGAAGTCTTCTGGATGCTGCAAACATCAGTTTGATGATGTTTTGCTGTGTATCTGATGTTTCTGTCTTATGTTCATTCAAAACCAAAGACTGTAAAGTAGGTCGCTTTATACTGTGTAAAGACTGTCTGTGTTTTCTATAATGTTTACCTGAAAGCACACAAATCCCCTAGTTTAACAGTATGTATAAGGTAATGCTATTACATTATATCATAAGTATGTAGTTCAGGTTCAACTTGGTTTTATTAAGCTGGCATTGTATAGCACTGCCTTCTGAGCTGAACAACTACCATTTTCTTTTCTTTTTTTATTGATATTTATTGAGCTCTATATCTTTCTCTCTCCCGTCCCTGCTTCTCCTCTCCCCCTTCAACCCTTCCCCAAGTTCCCCATGCTCCCAATTTACTCAGGAGATCTTGTCTTTTTTCTACTTTCTACTTCCCATGTACATTAGATCTATGTAAGTTTCTCTTAGTGTCCTCGTTGTTCTCTGGAATTGTGGTTTGTAGGCTGGCTTTCTTTGCTTTATGTTTAAAAACCACCTATGAGTGAGTACATGTGATAATTGTCTTTCTGTGTCTGGGTTACCTCACTCAAAATAATGTTTTCTACCTCCATTCATTTTCCCGCAAAGTTCAAGATGTCGTTATTTTTTTCTGCTGTGTAGTACTCCATTGTGTAAATGTACCACAGTTTTTCTTATCCATTTTTTGGTCGAGGGGCATTTAGGTTGTTTCCAGGTTCTGGCTATGACAAACAAAGCTCCTGTGAACACAGTTAAGCACATGTCCTTGTGGCACGATTGAGCATCCTTTGGATATATACCCAAAAGTGGTATTACTGGGTCTTGAGGAAGGTTGTTTCCTAATTTTCTGAGAAATTGCCACACTGACATCCAAAGGGGCTGTACCAGCTTGCATTCCCACCTGCAATGCACAAGTGTTCCCTTTCCCCCACAACCTCTCCAGCATAAGTTGTCATCAGTGTTTTTGATCTTGGCCATTCTTACAGGTGTAAGATGGAATCTCAGAACAAATGCCATTTTCATCATGTCTACTGTACTTGCTTACAAAAGATCATCACAGCTTCTTGACTATTGCTGTTCCTTCATGGATGTGAGGGGGCAGGCGGGGTCACTGGACTCCCATCTGGGTATCCAGTCACTCCTACTAGCCAGTTGTCTGTAACTGTGCCCTAACTGCACTTGTCCCATTGTTCTTGGGGAGCACTAGAGGACATAAGCTGGGGAGGGATAGGGAGAGAGGGCTCCACCTATGTAGCTGTGGGAAAGCCAGCATCCATGCTGGGTTACTTTCCAGAGAGGCTACTTTTGGGTTACCTCTTAATCTGTCAGTATCCCCTCACCCATGCTGATGAATAAGCCCAGTAAACTCATTGGTTCCCAAAAGTAAGTTCAGTAAACTTATTGGTTCTCCATGGTGGACTTTGGTGACTAAAACTTTGTCATTGGGATGTTATAAGGAAGGGGTGGACATTGTTTAGTTATGCCCCTCCCAAGTTCTCACAACAGATGGTAAATTTGTTGCTGTTACTATGACTTATGTTATTAAAAAACTAGAAAATTTATCTGAGTTACGAAGGTCTGAGTAAGTTATTTAAGGTTTGTTAAAGATGAGACATAGACACGATATGCGTGATATTAAAATTTCTAAGGTTAAAGTTCATATGTACTAAATTTTTTGGTATCAAAGTTCAATATATTGAACCATGCTCAAAGCAATGGAGATAAAAGTGCTTGGTTTTTGCGTAAGCTTTACCTCAATGTTACACAGTGATGAAAAGTACCTGCTGGCTGTTAAAGACCCATACTAGAAGGCCACATTGATGTGACTAGAAGGATGAAAAGGGAGAGTATTGCTCTCCTTACCCTCCAAAGTCAGCTAGGTCCAAGGGGACTGTAGGGTATCCCTTAAAATGTTCTGTAGATCTTGTTCATGGAGGCCATGGAGATCCAACTCAGTGGCTCCAAACAGTTTATAAAGAGGTTCAGCACAGAGAAAATCATGCTTCCAAGGCAGCTCTGACTTAGCCTCCCATAGATGGAACAGATGGTAAAATGGAGTCTAAATGACTCTGGAGGACAAGATCCTTCACTGCTTGACAGAACCCCCCCCCCAAAAAAAAAACAGTTAATTTTGGCCAACTACATAGTCTTAAACACCTGCCAGGAAAGAACAGAGACCGAAATGACTTGTGTTTCTGTTACGGTCCAAGAGGTGCTACTCCCCAGACATTAGACTTAAATTCATGTGAAGTGTTACTTAGACAGCTGTATATTACTAATGGCTTCCTTCTTAATAAGGAAAATGCTGCCCAGATATAAGAGACTTCAGACCTTGGCTCAATTTAACACTGCAGGGTCTATCCAGAACCCAGACAGTCAGGTCCACTTATTGGTTTAATCTAAAAACCAAATAACACTCAAATTTCTCCGCTCTCCCTCTCTGGAAGCCATCTGAGAGGGAGCTCACACCGTGAAGCTAGTCTCTGCAACAGCTATCACGGCGTCTGAAAGCAGACCTGAGGTTCAGCACTCTGGAGACCAGTCTTCGAGGCCTAAGGAACATAATAGTGGCCAAACAGATGGAGGGAGAAACTTGTGAGCCTATCAAACTATTTCAATGGACTTTGATTTGAACATTGAAAAAGTTATCTCTGTTGTGGTTTCTTCTGGATCCTTGTCTCAGACTATTTTTCAGGGTTTCTCGGTGTAGCCGTGGCTGTCCTGGAACTCAGAGATCTGCTTGTGTCTGCCTCCTGAGTACTGGGATTAAAGGCGTGTGCCACCCCTACCTGGCCCTGTCTCAGACTCTCAAGGCTAGGAATTTTTGTCTTCACTTCTCCTTCATATTTCTGTCCAGGCACCAGACAGGGACCTCCTTTGCTCCCTATACCTGAATGTTATACAAAGAAACCACCAATACACTTTGGAGTCTTTTAGACAGGCCCATGGGAGGGGCCTTCTGACTACTATGCCCAATGACCCCTTCCAGCTGGAAAAAAGAACAGACCAGCCATCGCCCCGATTCCATAATGATAGTTAAGGTTACCTCTTCAAAAATGGGGGGGGGGATGATTAAAAATTGTATAATGCAGAGATGAGAATTGTGAGAACCCCTTTTAATATCGAAGGTAGTCAGTTTGATAAAGGCCCATATTTTCTGAAGCTCCCCCTTCCTTTTGTGCTAATTCGTCAACCACGCCAGTGTGTAAAGCTGAGATTCCACCAATGGGGATGAGATGAGGTCATCACTTACATCAGGGATGAAAGACACAGACCATCGCGGCCAAGTGTGCTGCTTGCAACCCCAGTTTGGGTTCTGGCACGCCTTTCCTGGGAAAATAAATTACTTAACTTTGCATGTTCCTTGTGGGATACTGAGATCACTCTTTTCCAACACAGACCCAGGGCCTTGATTCATCCCTCAAACATTTGTTGGTGCTCCTTTTCTCTGTGGAGATAGCTCCAAGTCAGAGGGAAGGGACAGAACAGCTCTGACACTGTGTCTAGGAAGGCAGGTTGGGGGGGGGGGGTGTCAGATGACCAGGGCTTTAGAGCAGTGATTTCAAAACTGACAAAAGTCAGATTAGCTGGGAGGTTTAGGGTATTTTGTGAGTCAGAGCTGGGGTCTCCAAAACATGTACTGGTCAGGCTGAGTGGCTCTTAGTAATGGTGCAATAGAAAAAAAAATCTTGGTAGTGGGCTCAAGAAACATGCGCCATGCTTCTGATTTACCCTGAGGCAATGGACATGGCACTGGGACACTGGGCTGGATCAGCAGCTGCTCCTCTTCTCGCAGATCCAGCCGTCCTTCTCATTGCTACATGGTGCGTCATTCCACAGCCCCGAGTGTAGCATCATGACACAGTCCTCACGTCCTCTGGAATCGTTGGGCTCTCCAGAGTTCCAGTGACTGCGGTGGTTCAGTGGGGAGTGTTACTGGGAATCTGGGCTGGCGATAGACCTAGGGTCCAGCCTCCCTCCCTGCCTTGTTGCTTGACTCTGGCATAGACACCCTGAATGTCTAATTTGAGTTTATATTACAGTGAGCATTTGTAAGGGCTCAGAATTGAACTCTTAGCCAATTCCAGGGTTTAGCTTTTCCACTCTTAAAAGGTTAGTTCAGGGACTGTGGAGATCGCTCAGTGGAAAAGAATCCTTGTTGTATAAACATAAGGACTTGAGCTCAAACCCCAAACAGTTACATAAAAATCCAGCTATGGCTGTGCATGTGTTTGTAACCTTGGCAGGGCGGGGTTTTCTGGCTGTCAGTCAACCTAGATCCAGGTTCACTGAGAGACCCTGTCTCAGTGGGATAAAGCAAGGAATGGTAGAACAGACTATCTAGAGTTCTCCCCTAGCTTTTCATGAGCATGCGTGGGTTTGCAAGCTCCCCATGCACCATATACACACTCGCCAAAGCACCAGCAACAATGCTCTCCTAGGAATTAGTCTTTAGACATATCCCAAAGCATTTTTCCTAGGGTCTAACTTTACCCTTCTGAATCTCTCTTGGAGCCGTCTCCTTACCTGAAGGTGAGTGAGACTCCATCTACCCACTGGTAGCCTTGAATCTTGCCGAGGTGGCGAACTGTCCTCAGACCCAACCAGTAGCCTCGGCCCCGCGTGCGCTGACTCAGGAAGCTCTGGAAGGGAGTAGAGATGTCATCTGGCCAAGTCTGCTTGACATCCCGGGCCGCACCAGCTCAGGTGAACTCTGATTCTCCTCTGCCAAGTGCTAGCAGCATACCTGCTCATCCAGGTCTTTGACAATCACCAAGTGGGCACCGTGGACTGAACAGAAGCTCTGTGCTGTGTTCCATATAGCCTGAGTCTCAGAGAAATAGTAGCAGGATCCTTGGAAGTGTAGCCATGATGTGGGGCACTTCTCACAGGATTCTGTTGGGTGGTGAGGGTCAGAGAGACGGATTGTTATCGAATGAGGCCATTGGAATGCCATGGAGGGTGTTGTATACCAGAGACACAAGGTTTAGGTCAAAAGGCACATCTGGTAGAAAGAGAAGCCTTGAGAACCCCAGGCAGGGCCCACTCCTTCCCATCCTTAGTCTTCTCTCTGGCTCACTGTTTTGTTGCTTGACAGCCTCCAATGCCTGGAAGAGCTCACTGCGGATGTCTTCACGATCTCTGGCTGCTTTAGCCAAACTCTGGGTCACTACAGGGCCAGAACGGTGGACAATTAGAGCGGGAGTTGGATTGGGACTTATGTACAGGTCAAGATCTATGTCCAGTGCCAGTTCATGGTTACTATCAGGGTCAAGAATAACTTCAGTCTGGGCGTGGTGGTTTCAGCTACTTCTGAAGGCTGAGACAGAGGAGATTGCAAGTTCAAGGCTAAATTGGGCTACAGAGTTTAAGTTCATCCCGGGCAACTTAGTGAGACCCTGTCTCAAAATAAAATATAAAATATGTGTTGGTGATAATTTTGGTATTAGAACACCTGCCTAGAATCGCCCAGTGAGGGGCTGGGGGAATGGTTCAAAGGCAGAAGAACACTTGCTTAGGGTCACACAGTGAAGAAAGCCTGCCTATTATGTGAAGCCCTAGGTTGCGTCACCAGGGATCTGAGGGTCTAGGACTGTACTGCCAAGAAGGGGCGTGGCTATGGTTAGAGGCGAAGGTCAGGGGTCAGGGGGTCGTGTTCAGCTTCAGCTCTCACCACGCTCTTGCAGTTCTTTAAGGGCGCTCTCCTGCTCCATCAGCTTTGTCTGTGTGTTCTTAAACTCAGCGAGTGTGGTTTGCAACTGCGCTTTCATCCCGGAGCCTATGTGGGGATGGAGCGACCTTTTGGGACCTGCCAGTGTCACCCACCTGTCCCATTTCCCAGCCCCACAGCTCTCAAGCCTCCACCAGGCCCGTTTCTTACAGCAGTTCCCGCAGGCACCGACATCTTCTTTCAGGGCACTCAGCATCATCTTTTGCTCTGAGGCTGGAATGAATTCCCCCCCAACACACTAGGTCAGGGGACACCCTTCTCCAATCCAGGTTCCCCCCATTTCCAGGGGTCTCTGCTAATTCACTACCCAATTTCGGAATTCCTGGCAGTCCCACCTCCTACCGCCAGGGGACGCAGACGCCCTGCTCTGCAATTCGCACGCACCGTTTGTCTTTAGCTGGTCCTGGTGGCTGAGCAGCGCCCTGCGCTCGCTGGAGGCTGCAGAGAGAAGCAAGCAGAAGTTGGGAACCTTCCGCTTTCCTAGAGTGTGTGAGTACCTGTGTTTGGTATCCACGGAGGCACAATCCAGGAATACAGCACTCGGGCACGGATAGGAGACATGCATAGTGCATACATACAGCGCCAAACAGACACATGTTTGGTTTACTCTAAAGGTTCTTAACCTTCCTAATGTTTCGACCCTTTAATATTTAATAACCACCTCATGTTGTGGTGACCCTCCAACCATAACATTATTTTCTTTGCTACTTCATCATTATAATTTCGCTACTGTTCTGAACCATAATGTAAGCATATGATTTTTGATGATCTTTGGGAACACCAAAGGGTTGTGACTCACAGGTTGAGAACCTCTGGTTTATACTTACTGACGTCCAGGATGCCATCTGGTGCGCCACAGAGGGAACAAGTTTGTGCCTTCCCTGCCAGGTGGCATACAACTTGTTCCGCGTTAAAGGATCATTGTCGTGGGCTGGAGAGATCGTTCAGAGGGTTAGAGCGAGCTGCTCTTCCTGAGAACCCCTCAGCACCCACATGCGACAGCTCACGACTGCCTGTAACTCCAGCTCTAGGGAAGTTGATGTCGTCTGGCATCTGTGGGCACTTGCACACGCGTGTCACACCCTCACGCAGGCACATACAGGTACACATCAAGAGAATCACTCACCCTTGGACAACAGGGTGCTCAGGATGAGAGTCCATAGCACTGTGGCCACCAGGGAAGCCAAGACCAGAAAGGAAAGCCTTTGTTTGTAGTACTCCCAGCGTCCCAACTGCCCTAGGAGAACACCGATGGATTCTTGATTCTTCCAGGTTGGGTTAGAATTCTATGCCAATGTAGCTGGGTCTATGACTGGAATAACACCTGTCCCCTAACTGGGCTTCCTGGGGAAGACTCAAGGGTTGCCCTACCCAGCCCTTTGGGTCCCGGGGAATCCTCCACACCCAGGCTCTACTCTTCCCCACACCCAGGGTGCAGGCACTGCCATTCTGCAGTCCTGTCCGTACATTGGTGGCCCCTCCCCTTGACATTAGGACCCACGGAGGAAGATGAGGTGATCCCTTCACTCATACCTCTGGGGACCTCCTCGATGGCGCTACCCAGCTTGCTGTATCCACCAGCGTCCATGATGGTGGTAGGATCCAGCCCGGGACAGAGATATAAATTTAGGTCCCCACCCTAGTCCCATCCTATCTCTTTTCCTTCCTTCCTTTTCATTTCCATGGCCTCAATTCCTTAGGAACCCAGCCAACGGCCGGTCACAGTGCTGGGCAAGGCTGGGGCTGGGAGGGGCAGCTCCAATCTGTGCGGCTTGGTCATTGCAGCTGTATTTCCTCGGTGCCAGGAGCTTCTCTTCAGAGTTGTTCTCTCTCTCTCTCTCTCTCTCTCTCTCTCTCTCTCTCTCTCTCTCACACACACACACACACACACACACACACACACACACACACACAGAAAAACTTGGGGTGTTGTTATCCAGGTGCCACCTATCTTTTTAAAAAACGCTTTGCATTTTATTTATTGTGTGTGTCTGTGGTGCCGGCATACGAGTAGGGGTCCCTCTGAGCTCCACTCACAGGACAACCTGCGAGAGAATTGTTTTTCTCTACCATGTGGGCTTTGGAACCCAAACTTGGCAGCAAGTTCCTTTATCTACTGCTTTTGTCCTGTTGGCCTCCATCCACCCTTTTTCTGAAACAGGGTCTCTCAATGGCCAGGAACTTGCTAAGTACTATAGGCTGACCACCAAGCCCCAGAGCCCCACCTGTGTCTGTCACCTCAGCACTGGGGTTGCCCCACACCAACTGTCTCTGTTAGGTTAGGGTAGCTACTGGGGATCAAATTTAGATCCTCATGCTTGCAAAACAGACAGTTACTGCCTGAGCTGCCTCTCTCCCCCAGCTCTGGTCTCTGTCTCTTATGGGCTCAGGGCTGAGATTTCTCCTGAGGTGGAAAACATTGAATTCAGCCAAGTGTCTCAGGACCCTGCTGGATCCTGAAAAGTCTCTCTAGGTGTGATCTTGACCTGAAGGTGTTGTTTAGACACTGCTTGACCTTGATGTGAATTCAGCTGACTTTGGTTGGAAGGGAGAGAATACTTCCGTGGGAGGGAGCTCTTAACTAAGCTGGCTGGGTCTTCTGCTGGGGAGAGTAGGGTGGGCCTGGAGGTGGTGTACAGTTTAGAAGTTTTCTTCTTTGTGATGAAGGGGGAACAATGACAGGGCCTGATCCTGCGATGAGCAATTGATGTCACGGCGAAGGACCCAGTCTGTAAAGTGCTGCTGTGGAAACGGGGGCCTGAATCTGACCCCTAGTGCTCAGGAAATACCTGAGTGGGGTGGAACACGCTTGTAATCCCAGCACTGGCAAAGTGGACACAGGCAAGTCCCTGGAGCATCTGCGAGTTCCAGGTCACCATGAGAGTCTGTGTCTCAGAAGCAAGGTGGGGCCAGGGAGATGGCTTAGCTGCCAAGGGGACTTGACACCATGCTCGATGACTGTGTTTGATGCTAGGACTTACATGGGAGGAGAACCAACTCCTGAAAGTTGCCCTTTGACCTTCACACATGTGTCATGACCTGTGTGGGCACACATGTGTGTGGAAACTGCACACAAAGTAAGTAAATAAATGTAACTGAAAATTAACACACATACACAAACACACACATGAAAAAAGTGTACAACTCCCAAGGAAGAACTTTAAGGGTTAACCCGGATTATAATGTAATGAGCCTGTGTCTCAAAACCAAACCAAACCAAAGCAAACCAAAACAAAACTTAATAAAATCTCCCAGCAAACAAACAAACAAAAAACCAAAACCTAAACAGATGAACCTGGGGCTGCAGCAAAGTCAATGGAATGCTTGTCTGTCATGCCCCAAACCCTGGACAGGATCCCCAGTAGGGAACAGACTGGATATGGCGGTGCACCTGTAATTCCAGCTTTTGGGAGGGACAGGCAAAAGACTTGGCTACCCAGATGAGTCTGAGGCCAGCCTGGGCTACGCAAGACCCTGTCACAAAGAAACAACAAACTCAAACCCAAGCCCAAATCAATACTGAACATCTCCCCAGCCTCCAAATGTAATGTATTCTTTAAACAAATATTGGATATCTGATGCTTGACAGAAATTTCTCTGAGAATTGGGCTATAACAGGGAACAAATTATTTCCTTCTGGGTGTTAATACTTCTCAGGGATGGTCAGGGAGACAGACACTATGTTAAATTTACCATGGATGAGAAAGGGGCCAATAGGGCCACCTACCTCCAGGAACAGTTGTTTGTACTGATATTTCATTTGTATTTTAATAAATAAAGCCTGCCTGAAGTTCAGAGAGTAAAACAGCCACCCTGGCCAACCTTACAGACCAGGCAGTGGTGACACACAACTTTAATCCCAGTAGCCACACTAGTTTGCCATAGAAGCCAGGTGGTAGTGGTGCATACCTTTAATCCCAGCACTACACAGGAATATAAGATGGGAGGAGATAGCTCTCACACATAGTCTCATTCAGGATCGCCATTTGGGACTGAGATAGAGGTAAGAGCCAGTGGCTGGCTGTTTTGCTTTTCTGACCTTCAGGTTGAACTCAAGTTTCTGTCTCTGGGTTTTTAATTAATCATGCCACGGTTGCTGGGAGAGAGAGTGCCATTTTCTTTAGTGCTGGTGCCACTGGCTACTTGTCTTGCTCTTATTAATAAATAATCTTGCACCTGTGCTCAGGGACGCAGCCCTTGCTAAACTTGGTGGGCCACACTCAAAAAGAAGACAAGACCACAGTTAGGGGAGTCACTGAGACGAAGACTCCCAGTGGGAGAGGAAGGGTGATGGCGTGATGGTGCTTACTAAATGGTATTGGGAAAATTTCAAACAATAAAAACAATTTTAAAAAGCACATGGCGGGCTTAAGAGATGGCTCAGTGGTTAAGGGGGCCTCTTTTTTGCAGAGGACCCCAGTTCAGTCCCAGCACCCGTTACATGGCTCACAACCACCTATAACTCCAGCTCCAGGGGTCTGATGCCTCCATTCTCTTTGGTTCCTGCACTCCAGTGTGCACACACACCCTTACACATAATTGAAAATAAGAAGAATGAGCATGAAAAAAAAATAAAAGCGAGTTAAAAGGAAGACCTTTACCACAGTAGCTAAGTTATAAAACCATGTTTGGTGTCCAGCCCCAGAGGAATAGATGGAGAAAATGGGGCTTATAAAGTCATAAAGGACGCGTGTATGTTGTTTTCAGGAAAATGGATACAACTGGAGACAATCGTATTAACTGGATTAAGTCAGTTCCAGAAAGACAACTATTGAATGTTTTCTCTCCTTTGTGGTTCCTAGATTTTATATAGTTACATAAAAATCGCGAATGTATACATGACAAGAATGTAGAAGTGAAACCGCCTAGGGAAAGAAAGGGGCCAAGGGGAGGGGGAGATGTAGGAAACGGGAAGGCGAAGGGATGTATTCAATGTACAGTGTGTCCTTGCACGAAAATGTGCTCATGTGACCCATTCCTGCGCAGTGCAAATCTAAAACTCAAAACAAAAACAACCCCCTGCAAGCTGGGAGTAGTGGTGAACTTCTGGAATCCCAGTGTTGAGAGTCTGTGAGTTCAAGACCAGCCTGGCCTGCATTGTAGCTTTCTAGGACAGTCTAAACTACACACAGCGAGACCCTTTTTTTTACAAGCAAGCATAAATCAAAGAAAAATGGACATGAAACGTTGCTAGGGTTGGGAAAGTGGAAGAGGAGATGAGGGAAGAAGATGGAGAACTAGGGCCTGAGGGGATGGCTCAGCTGGTATAAACACTTGCTTACTTGATTCCCTGAGTTTGATACCCGCAACCCATTGACCCCCGAAAGTCCTCTGAACTGCATGTTCATTCTGTGGCACCCACCTACTTGCACAGACAGTAACATTCACACAAATACACAAAAATAAATAAATTTGAAAAAGAAGGCAAGTGCTGTGGTCCATTTGTCATCCTTGTGCCGAGCGATGGTGGACCCCAGGGGCTTGTTCCAAGCCAGCGAAAGACTCTGAGGCAGAAAAACCAAAGATGCTTACCTAGTACTCCAAACCCACTTAAAAAACCCAAACAAACAAGCAAACAATGACAACAACAGCAACAAACCATAACCGAGGAGACCTTAGGCTCTGTGCGGCCAGTCTACCACCGCTGCTTACATAGACTGACACACCATCAGGGCACCTTTAACCAGAGAAGCCCCTCTTTTCAGTGAACAGAAGTCAATGCAGACTCCTGTGGAAGCTTTGTGGTAGAGGGGCAAGGGGAGTGTAAGAGCAGGGTTGTCACATGTCAAACTCTTGAGGACTGTCTAGAGATTCTAGCACAGAGCCCGGTTACACGTATACCCTTGACATAAGATCAGTCTGTGTCTATAGGAAAGGTTGTCCTCTTCAGCTGAGCACACTTGGGTTGTGCGTGCTCCTGTAGGTGACCCCTCACACACATTCCCGTGAGCAGCCTCAGTGCGATCCTTGGCTCATCTCATTGGACTTCGGTGGTGGTATCTTTACTTCGGTCTGTCATTGGTTTCCTATCCAGGTGAGCATATACTTTTTGACATATCTTCAGGAATAGCATCACAGAAACACACACACACACACACACACACACACACGGAGAGACAGGGAGCTTTATGTATCGAGATATAGTCTAGGATCTGCAAATGAGAGAAAATGTGATCCTTGTCTCTCTGTTTTCTAAGTTATTTTGCTTTAAGGTGACAATCTTCAGTGCAGCTGCTTACAGCAGGTAACACAATTTTACTCTTCTTTGTGGATGAACAAGATTTCATTGTAAATATGCCACATTATCTGTAAGTTAATAAAAACATACTCATTCATCTGTTGATGGACACATAGATTGTAAAGCAGTAAACATGGATGGCCTTTGGTGTCTTGGGTCTGTAACCGGGGTGACACAGCTGGGACACAAAGCAGTCTCAGTTGCATTGGTTTTGTGAGGATGGGAGCTGATCAGTGCACAGTTACATTGGTTTTGTGAGGATGGGAGTCGAGCGATGAGTTCACAGAAATGATTCCTCTTTGCTCTTTGCTGTGACGGGATGTGTCCATCCCGCCATCTTGACTTCCTTG